TCCCTACAATTCATTTTGTTTTCTTTTATAAGCGGGACGTCCGATTGGGCTCTATTTTAAGCTCTCCTATTTCTCAGGGATCTTTGAAGTTGTTTGTTTTGTTTGAATTTTTCAACAGCCTAGCCTACAGACTTCTTTTCTATGCCTCTTTTCAGGCAGGACAGTCTGCAGATTTGTTTTGGTTTGTCCACAGCAGCTGGCCAATACAGATTTTAGCCACCAAAGGCAGCATTAGTCTGCACTGGCACAAATGCCTAAGTAATAAAACTGAGAAATGTAGTACACTGTTTAAGAAAAACACATCCAGTATCCAATATTGTGACATTTCACATTAAAATAACACAATCTGTAATATTTTTTCGTAACACCACTGTTTTCTTTAACAAACAGCAAAGGAACATTTGAAAAACACAAATGTTCAAGCAGTATTTTTAAAAGTTCTTGCAAATGAAATTTACATTTCTTACCAAAAGCCGTGATCTGATTGGTCAGATCTGTTTATTTGGATCCAAAAAGTAGAGACTGTTTCGAAAAATAAATGCCGCAAATTAGTTTTTAAATTTTGCAGTCAGCATGAACAGGGACTAGAAAGAGAGCACATTTCTCCTTCTCTTCAGTGGCTCCCTGTTAAATCCAGAATCAAATTTACAAATTCAAGGTCTTGAATAATCAGACCCCATTCTATCTTAAAGACCTCATAGTACCATATCACTAAAGCACCACACTCTCAGACTGCTGGCTTACTTGTGGTTCCTAGGATATTAAGTAAAAAAGTAGAATGGGAATCACTGTATTATTGTAGGGTCTTTACTTTAGAATACAAAGCGCCTTCAGGCAACTATTGTGGGTTGGTTTCTAAATAAATAAAACTGAATTGAATTGACGAATGGGTGAGTCCAAGAAAAGGCAACAAGATTGCAAGTTTGTTGCACACGGGCGCGACAATTTTAGTTGTGCCTCAGGCTCCAACCACTGTCTTCACTAGTGTGACTGTACCATAAGAGTGAAGCTTATCTCACATTGAACTGTTAAAGTGAAGTCACAGAGTGTGTTGAGTGACAAGGAGTGTTAAGCAGCTCAACATGATACAGTAGCTCTATGTAAATTATCTTTATGTGTCCCAACTCTAATGGTTAAAGTTATTCTACATCTTAATAACAAATGCTGGCAATGCGTAAAAAAATATGTGAATATAATGTGAATATAGGAATGTGACTGTGGTTCACTTTACTCTCTGCATACAAAAAGCAATGTTTTTAAATATAGATATATTATAATATGTATCGTAATTGTCGGGCTATAAGCCGCTACTTTTTGCACAAGCTTTGAACCCTGCGGCTTTTAGTCAGGTGCGGCTTTTCTATGGATTGTCCATGATTTTTGGCATATCGTAAGACGATTTGTTTTATTTGTTCCGCTGTTGTACGGCACTACGTTGCCTGGCGGAAGGGCATGTGATCAGACACACAGTATTCGGGGTTCAAGAGTGGTATGTTGGTCACATGTCCATCCGCCAGGCAACATAGTGCCGTACAAGTAGCGCGAAAAACAAACTTCAAAGTAGCGCTAGCGTTCAGCAGGAGGCGTGGATGACGAGCGGCGATAAACTTGCGAAAAGCAAGTTATGCTCAACTCCACCGGTGGATCTGACAGCGTGGAAAAGTGTGAAAACATCCATGATCACCAACGGATTTCGAAGGGCTGGACTGCTGCATGATGGAGAGGAGGACACCGCCACGGCCCTTCTGAGGGTGTTCGACTCTGACACTGACAACGAGGATTTGCTTTGGTTTTGAAAGTGACAACGAAGGAAAGAAGCTGAGAGTGGATGACGAAGCCATCCTGAGCCTGTTCGTTTCCGACACTGGAGAAGAGGACTTTGGTGGTTTTAGTGCGCAGGAAGATGGTGGTGAATGACTGACTTTTCTTCTTGTTAAAGCCGTGTCACTGCACCTGAGCCTAAAAGGTAGTCGAATCTATTTTTCTGGTGTGCTGTAGGTTATTGTTATGTACTACATTTGTTACTCATTTATGAAGCACAGTACATGTTTCGTACTTGTAATTACCGCTACTTGTACATATACCTAAAAAGTTATGCAAATATGTACCCATAACTTGTTTTTCAAAATATTAATAAAAGGGGTGTGTCTCCAAACAGCCATCTCTTTCCTGACAATTCCCTTTGTGCATATTCTCTTACATATGATAAGTCAACATTGAAACACCTGCGGCTTTTAGTCAGGTGCGGCTAATGTATGTACAAAACAGGATTTTCCCCTGATTTTAGCTTGTGCGGCTAATATTCAGGTGCGCTTTGTAGTCCGGGAAATACGGTATGAAATATATATTTTTGTTATTATATATATATATATATATAAAGGAAAAGGTGTTTTATATGCTTTTCTCTATATTGGTTTGCTTGAGTCCTTATATGCGTCTTTCTTTGCCTCTGTCTGAGTCCAATCACTCTATATCACTATCAAAGGAGCTCTTCAGAAATATGGCACAATAATATTCAGCATAAAATCAATGGCTTGTTTAATTTAAACAGGGAGGAAGTGGGGAGGCTGGGTAATTGCAGAGAAAGGCCCACAAATCAGCCGTCCTTGTTATCCCATTTGACGGACCATTAAACGTCTGCAGGAATAAACATTATTTTTAGTTTAACTACCAGCTTCTGCCGGCTATAGAGTAGATGGGTGAATCGTTCTAAAATTAAATAAATAAAAGTGGTGTTTAGAGGCACAGAAGTCTGGGCTGTTTGTTTATTCCAACATATATATATATTTACCCCATCTTATTTCTCTCTAGATGGTCGTTTTTTGTTTTTTAACAGTTGATCCAAAATATGTTTCCACTCTAAAACAGGGTGACCATTTTTTCAAAACTACATTGCAGCCTGCATGTGATAAGTAAAAGTGTTACATCCCAAGCATTATTTTGAATTGTAGTTCACACATTACTTTTCTTACAAATAAGAAACTACCACAAAAACAAATAAAATCCACATAAACATGCTAATTGTGGTATGCTCAGAAGTTTTGTAGCTGTAGTCTGCTGGTCCAAGATGCACTGATCAGCTACAACCACTGGCAGGTTAATGTACCAGCTGCACAGGCTGGAGAACGTCTGGTGACAACCGGTTACATAGAGACAAATCTGTACTTCCTTAAAAGTTGCGAGTGGTGGCTTGAAGTTGCTGCGAAATCCACTGCAAAGCCCCGATCACACGGGCCTATAGACCTGTAACTGACCTCCTGATAACCACCGGTCAAAGGATAAATATATTCCCTGAGAGGTTAGTGACTATTTGTGGGAGGTTGCTTAGATTTAATTGGCTGCAAACATCTGTGTTGCTGCCCTAAAAACCTCCTTGTGTTTGTTTTCAATTTTGTGTGGAAGACATCAACTTGTCTGTTATCACTCGTGGTAGCATCTCTTTGGGCACGTAAGGTGTTAAAAAAAATGCTTTACTGTAATCCAACAGACGTGTATAGATCAACAATGGATGGAATGTGGGATAGAGTACGACCGTGCAGCGTTTAAAGCGTGGAAATACTGACATTACTTGGAGTTTGATTCTGTAAAAAGTGACAAAAACATTAGCATCTGCTGTACACTCTGGGTGGGAAGAAAACTTCTTTCTGCAGCGAAAAATTTGACTTCAGATCTGAGCAAGCACTAAGCATCTGCCACGGGAATGTGAAATTCACAGAGAAACCCCTGGATCCTCCCCACTGACATGACCGCTGCGGCACCGGGAAAACCTCCACCAGCCCCACTCCTGCTAAATGGGTAAAAATAGGTTTAAGAGCAACAGGACTTAATGCTGCTGAATCTTTGATTTTATTTATTTTTGCTGTGTTTTACTTGTATCTATTTGAAAGAGTGGGTGTAAAGACAAAAAAATATTTTATTTTATACGCTGGAATATGCAGGAAATAGGTTTAAATGTTAAAACAAATTTTTCCAGTCAGAGACTGTTGCATATAATTGCATTTCTGCTTAATGCAATGAGCATAAAGTTAAAAGATTAAAACTAATAAAACAATTTTTTAAAGAAACCTTTTCATTTGATTCAATTTTATATGATGGATTATGCAGAAAAAAGAGAATTGGGCTGAAAGGTCTATTGCTTTATAATCAGTGTTGGGCAAGTTAGTTTGAAAAAGTAATTAATTACTTGAAAAGTAACTATTGCGTTACTTTAAAAAAAATGTTTAGCCCTCTTGTGTCCAGGGCATAATTGGCCGTTTTTAACTACTTTTGATGTTTCCTCTACATTTCACCTTTAAAAACTATTTACTTTGCCTTGTTTGGTATCATCCTTTTCAGCACAACCTCACGTGTCTGAATTTACAGTTATGTTTTCATTTTGACATACTGTATTAACACAATTGATCTAAAATCAGACAAAAAACATAAAATCTGAGTAGAAAAAGTTAAATTTTTCACTGTAACAACCACAAACATGTTCGTTGAATCATATTTTTAAAATCCTATGCACAAGTTTTGCAAACAAAGTTATTTGCAGCCATTTACCTTTTACCCTTTTGTATAACCATTTCAAACTACACTGTAAAATCTAATTAGTTCCCAGAACTCAAAAAAATTGAGGAAACTTGTTGCCTCAAAAAAATTAAGTAAAGCTTAGCTAAAAATGACTAAATTAGGACAACTTATTTATTTTGAGTGCTCTGTACAAGCTCATTTGTTCCCAGAACACAAAAAATTGGATCAAGTTTACGTAAGATGACCAAGTTAGGGCAACTTACTCATTTTGAGTACACTGTACAGCCTTGTTAGTTCCCAGAACTCAAAAAAATTAAGGAAACTCGTTGCCTCAAAAAAACTAAGTAAAGCTTACTTAAGATGACTGTTAGGACAACTTATACAGTGCAAGTCTGCAGTATTAGGAATAACTTGATATTTCTGACTGTACAATACTAATTGTTTACCTACTGACAAACATTTCAAGTTCAACTGAATGAAAAAACAATTTGTGGTAACCTGAATATGATTAAAAATTATTAACAACACTTTTTGTAATGATGTTAAAATCAGCCCTACTTTTATTTTCAAACACAAAGTATAACAGCCAACATCCTGGACACTGTTCTGCTGAACAACAAACAATTATATTGGCATCACTGTTATAATCTTACAATGAAACAAAGTCTCAGATGTAATTATTCTGAAAATAAGTTTAGGCCTACCACAACTTTGTTTTGTACTTACATTACTTATATAATCAAAATAAAATATTTGTTGTTCTGTCACAAGTGCAGTCTCTGATTTAAACAACAGATTTGTTTTGCATTCCAACACATGAGCTGGAATGTTGTATTATTTTAAGGATGGCTTGTTTCCAGTCCAGGCATTACTGCCTGAATGACTGTCATGGATCGAGGTGATCCAAATGTAGGTGCAGAAGAAAGTCTTTAACTTCCCTTAAGTACAGTGGCAGTGGATGTGGGTTGGAGACGCAATGAGCTTGAACCTGCAGGCGACCATTTTCACTCACCACACCATCTGTGACGGAGGACTCATCTCTCCTGGTGTCCTGCAAGCAAACAATCATATTTTTTGGAACATGAACTTAATTGCTTTCTTAAAACATTTTTTTTTCTGCATTTGGTATAAAACAGACTCCAATTTGGACAGTCTCAGGCTCCCTCCCCACCGAAGAGGTGACATTCAATGTCCCAATTGTCAGTCTGGATAGCCGTGACCACCACCCAACACACAATAATGTCATGAAAGCATCATTTTGTGCAAACATAAATAGGGCTATGCAAACATGGCCAATAACTTTCATTCTAATGATGTGCAAAATGATTTGGGCACAAAACAAATTTTGCTGTTAGAAAACTTGCAGACTTCACTTTATACAGTGTAGACCCTCTAAACTAAGTTTGGGGGGTGTGATCTTTCAAGAAATGCAGACCAAACTGTTGTTGTTTGTTTACTTACACAGCATGTCTTGTAGAATTAACTGGAGTCACCAGCAACAGCATAGTGCAGTCATATCTCAAGTCTAATAACAGAAGGCAGGAAAAGATCAGTGAAGAAACAACTTCCCCAAACCAAAGAACAAATAAAACAATAAGTAAAACAGGCTGATCTAAAGTATGATTAAAGTTCAGCCTGATTAATATAAATGTCACTGACAGTTGCTAATATATTGGAAAACCAAAATACTTACCACTGAGTTGATGTCTTTCTGTCCAACAGCAGGAGTGCTGGTCCCGAGCCTCAAAGACAGTAAGAAGCAAGCAGAGGGAGAAAAAATAGAACATTTTTCAGAAACTGATTTTATCCTTACTGGCTGTGCAATCATTGTAACATAGAGTTTGCTTATGTTGTTAAATAAAGGCTAGATTTGACATTAATAGATGCCACAGATGTTCAAAAGCTGCCACAAAGCATGAAAAAAAAAAATAGACGTCTCTGAAAACTTCGGTGCATTTTTGCAAATATGTGATGTCTTGATAAATCGAGCAGATATTTGAACTTTACACAACTACATTCTCGCCTGAAAATATCTTAAAGGTTTATTTTGTGACCCGGAAAAAGTAATACGTTTTTAGCCACGCTCCTCCGCCGTTGCCGTGCTTACAAGTACGCACAGGCTCCGACAACCGTGGCCAACAAATGCGATCCTCCTTTTCCCCAGACTACCCCTTTTCTGGGTGACAAAATAACCTTTTAAGATATTTTCAGCCGAGAATGTAGTTGTGTAATGCTTTTTATTTCAAACAATCAACAGAAAATTTCACAGACATATTTTTATGTAAGGTTTTTAAGGCTGTGGTGTTCATTTTTAAGTAACATGAGCCCAGCGGCAGCAGCAACGCTAGGCTAACACTAACTAGCTAGCAAGATTATAAACCTGGTGCTAAACTAAGAGAAGCCACAAAATCAGTTTGAATAACAGTAAACATTTACTCACCAAGCCTGTTTGTGACCGATTTCACCCAGCAACCACTACCCAAGCTGTCAGGGAATACACATTTTTCCCTAGTGACTGGAGGTTGCAGGGTAGTCGCTGACCTCTCTCTAGGTCTGCATGACTGAGGCATAAGTAAATTGGTCGATTATCTCGTTACCATCAAGTTATCTGATGGGAAACTGTGTCCTGGCAATGATGTGTATGTTACTTTAACTCGTTTACCACCTACCTGAACGTTGTTGATGACCAAGCACACCGCCCCCCCCAACAAAAGTAGTCTATTTTAGCAGGACACTACACAACAAAAATATTCATTACAGGCTCTAAGAACATGACAAAGAGCCAGGGTAGTGACCTGTTCTTCAAATTTCCCTGATTTACATACATGGGATTTGCCTGTTTTGATGGCAGAAGGCACACCTACACAGTCTTAGGCTCATGTATATATAAGCATCTTGGCACAGCATGGTCCCGTTTTAGGTTCCACGTAGAGTTAACACTAGACTCTTCGCCAGTCAGTACATTTTGTTGTAACAGTGCCAGACACTGAGCATTTCTTTTCTTTTCTTTTTTTTTGTTGTTAATTTTGAATAAAATGAAATTTTTTTTAAACATAGATTTCCTACAGATTTGACCTGTGTGACTGCACTGCAACGTGCAGTAACTAGGAGGGTTTTGTGTGGATAAAGTAGACATTTTTAACCAACGTGTAACAATCACGTTCCAGTCCCTCAGACTGCAACCGGGACAATTTAGTGGAAGCAGTAATGTGGAAGTTAGTTGGAGTGAAATCGAATGGTTTTACTAGGTGGACGATGATAGAAGGCCCCTTCACCATCTTCACCTGACTGGCTGAGAAAATTAGTCATTCTCTTTCTGTCATTGCAGTGACCCTCATATTTTCCTCTTTTTGAGAGAACAAAGCAGACGTGTGTCAGATAAAAGTGCAGTGTGTTAGATAGTCACGTTAGCCCTGCTCCAACTCCCATCTTACTTGTACAGATAACATATTTTGTTGTTGCCCTTGATAAAAGCGTCTCCCCTTGGGAGATGTCAGAAATTAACTTTATCTGGTCTTTAATTAGGGTACATGTGCTCTGGTGCATCTCTCACACACCCCTAAACCCTTCCTGCACCCTCCCCAGCCCAGCCCTAACACTGTCATTTTCAAAGCTATTTTAAGACAATGTGTGATTATCTGTGACATTGCTTGACATGTGCCTCAAGGCTGTCTCTCTCTTCACTATCTCGGCTCTCTTCCTCTGTCTCCCTCGCTTCTTCTTTCTGTCTTTCTCTAATCAAAAAGCCAAACCGTGCAGACAGCTCAGAGCAAATAACAAGTCACTCCCCGTGGATGTTTGAAGATGATGGCGCGACCGGAGCAGTGAGGGAGAAAATACACTGTGATCGTTCCCAGTCTTGAAGCCAGCTGAATATTACACATTTCTACACAAGCGTCATCTAATCATGTATTTGTTTGTGGCTTGTTTATTGTGTAGATTTATAGACAGGTTTATAGATATAATGCTGAAATTTAGAAATTTAAGAAAAAAGAACATCTGAAATGCTAAGCTGTACGGAAACAATCCCCTGAAAATAAGATTTTTTTTTTTTTTTTTTTAAGTATAATTCATTACTGGGGCGAGAAATATCATAAAATTTGATTTCCATAGAGAGATGTGTAAATATGAGGTGAACGCACCACTTATATAAGACTTCTGAAGGCATTTTTATTACTACAAAGTGATTTTTCTTTTTTCTTTCTTTCTTCTTCTTCTCATATAAATAGTTATTACTTTGTTTGATATAAAACAAGGTGTACACAACTAGTAACGGGAAGCAGGAGTACATGATTTTAGTAACTTGACAGATTCCACTTCCAGTTGAGGCTCAATATTAAAACATCTTGTGCTGACTGTGATAGATAGATAGATAGATAGATAGATAGCCTCACCTTTGTCCGTATATTAACAAGCAGCGGGTTACTGGAGCTCTGGGAGGCTCTAGAAAATGGTACTTTAGTTTATTTCTTTTCTTTTAGCTTGTTCTGGAGCTATAATAGACAGTTGGTTTATGTGGTAAAGTACATGCCATATTTTCCAGACTACTGGGGTCTGAGTAACATAGATTTTGTCCTGCGATGGTGAATGTAAGGCTTTGTGCAAATGTAATACTCAACAGGCATCAAAGTAAACTAGAAGTTATTGTTGGAATTAGCTAAAGCCAGCAAAAGTTTGAGTTTGACAGAAAAATTTGAATCTGCTCTAAAGCTCAGAGGCATATGGCCATTTAACAAGTCAGATTTTCTAACTACATTTTTTTTGTTAAATATTATTATTTTCTGAAATAAAAAATATTGTCTAACCATCGTCGCATGCTCCAGTCATATAGCCTTAATAGCAATTTTGTCACAGCCTCAATATTTCTCTGAACTTAACTCTACAGTTTTTTGTTAGTTTAAGAGAAAAGTTTCTTTTCTTTTTTTTGATAAGTTCTGCAGTTTTTTTTTTAAATCTCGGTGAGAGGGACGAGAGTCTTGGATACAGAGATGACATAGATACTGAATACATAGTGTGTTGCTAATGTCACATCATATAGGATATTTAAAAATAGTTTATTTTTACAATAATTACCTGGTGATCAGTTTTAGTAGGAATTGTTGCCTGAAACTGGCATGTCAAGTATGATTCATTTTGTCAAACGTTTGTATTTAATAGGTTTTCTGATTCCACGTCTTTTCCTCTTTTTTTTGTCGTGCCGATGAAATACAACGATAGAAAATGCTTTAAGCGTACAGTATTCAACTCTACCACTGGCAACTGGAACAAATTCAACATTTATATGAAGGCAGGTTTAGATGGCAGGCAGTGAAACATTGATGAAATTACCAGTCTACCTTCCCTCAGAACATTACCCATGTATCATAGCCAGAGCAAATACCAAATAATTACATAATTAATCAGATCATGTATGTTTCCCTTCCCTTCCTTCATTTTTGTTCCTTTGTACAAGAGTCAAATGCATGTAATCACTTGTTCGGTAATGTAATCTGATCAGGGCCATGTAATTCTTCATTTTCCAACAGCTCCCTGGAGCATCGGATCTGAGAGGGAGATGAATGTGGCAGAGTCTGGCCCTCCTCTCTCCATCTCTGCTTCTCTTTTCTCTAAATGTGGCTCCCTCTGTGTGGTTACCCGCTTGGCTGTGGAGCTGCAGGAAGTTCGATCTCCAGCCATAAGACATTATCCCTCCTTCGCACTTGTCTCTCCATGTGTCTATCTGTCCATCTGCTCCCCTGTTCTCCTCCCCTCCTCATCTTTCCTGATCTGTCCTCTTTCTTTTCCTAAACCCTTGTTTCTCCCCTCTTTCTCCTTTCCCATCTCTTCCTCCTCCTCTCTCCCTCCAGTGGCGACACCAACCATCAGGTCCCATCTATCTGTGTGTACGTCAGCAATTAGAGCGTTGTGGCAGCCAAATGCCAGCCATGTCCCCAAGCTACATACACACACACACACACTCTCAAAGGCTGTGCCCTGACAAAACAGCAAGAGAACAAATCACACCATAATTTATACTCTCGCTGCGCTAAAATCTCATTATATTACAGACATATGGATTTGGCGGCATGCACGGCTGGGGAGCCAGTGCTATAAATTCCACCAATCGTAAATTATTAAAGGAAAGATAGAAATGACCGTCGCCTGTCCAGATTAGCTCTAAATCACACTCAAACATGGTTTGTTTAAGGAATTAAGTCCCATGTGGTGTTAAAGGACATTACAGGGTATTTCTAAAGTCACTGGGTGGTAGGGAGGGTCAAGTATGAGCTGCCTTAAAATATCAAAGGATTATGGGTTCAAACCATAAAATACAGAAGGGCTTCCTGGTGTGAAGCATTGTCTTTATCTGTTTATAGACCAGCCAGATCAAAAAAAGATGCAACATGCCTTCACTGCACCTGTTTTCTGTGCTTTTCCATTTAAATCGAATGTCTGATAGTGAGGCCAACAAGCAACATAAACAAAGGCAGAGCACAGCTTGTCTCAACACCCTCTCCACTGCACTCGGCTCAGTCTAGCCCGCCTCTTCTGGAGCTTTAAAAAAAAGGAATTCAATTTAAGGATAAACCCGGCCAAGCCGAGGTGAAAGCAGGTTGCGAGAGGGCAGTCCTGGCCCTCTGCTGTCAGCTCGGCTTTTCATTATCACTTGGAGATGTCAGGGGTTTCATAACACCAAAACATGACTCAGTTCAGATGGATATAAGAAACCTGCTGAGAAGAAAACGAGTCCTGATGTTAACCTAACCCGAGTCTAATAACATGTAGAAGTGCTGTAGGATTTGGGACTCCAGGCAGATACTT